TATTTTAATTGAGTTTGAAATTCGTATATTATAATAACAGGTTATATATTTATAAAATCCTTCCTAATTCCCTATCTAACCTGAGCTAAATTATTTTTAATTTCTTATTCTATAAACTTTATAGTTTCTTGTTACCTATACTACACTTTTGTTGTCCTTTTGTCTATGTTTTCCTCACTAGTAATGTCCTTCCTGTAATCTCTCTCCTGTCTCTTCTCCTTCCTTTCTTTCACTCGAACTCTCCTCTATTTTGTCTTGTTCTCCTTCTGTGTCCTACTCCACTCCGTTGACTGCCACTGTCTGAATCACCTCCCTGGCTCGTACTGCTCCTTTCCTTTTCTAAATTGCTACGACAATTCAAAATGATGTTTTACTAACCTGACAGTATTTTGATTATATTGAGTTATCTGTCAATTTAGACTTCACCCTAATTTCCTTTCTGCCAAATAACTTCTTTCCTATTTCCTGACTCTTACTGTTCTCTTCTTTCTTTATTGTTTTTTCTTATAATTTTCTTTCTCACCGCACTCTTATATCTAATTACAATATTTATTAATATATCGTTTTCAATCTCAACCTATCAGATTATTTTATAATTTATACATTTTTAATTTACCATTTTTAATACCATTTTATTTTTTTTAACTACATTACATTTTTTTGTGGACACTTTTTATTCCTTTAGACTGAGATTTCATTATACTTTTCATATCATTATACACTGTCACTTTTCATCCCGCTGTCACCCAAATTATCCTTACTATTTTGTCACCATATATCCAGTATGTTATTACTTGTTGTATTTTAACTTAACTTCTATTAGTTTTTATAATTAAAAACTCTTAATTCAATTTCTACCTGTTACAATATATAATCATACGAGTATATCAAATTCACACCAAACGTATTAGTTTGGCCAAACAGTGTCTTCTATCCATTTTATGTAAGCCGATACTCTGCTGTACACTCCTGGAACGTCTGTTGCTAAACCGCATGATTTCCCAAAAGAGGTCACCCCGATGATGTCGTACATACATTTGACTTCTTCAGTTTCTTTGTGGTATACTTGAAGGGGTCCTCCAGAATCTCCCTAAAAAAAATTCATAAAATTAAATAAATGAGCAAAACTCGAAATACTACAGTAGATGTTGAAATTGTCCCCTATTTGCTTCTATGCAATCTCATTTTTCTCGAAAATGGTACATGCTACCGAATTTCGAATGGATTTATATAGAAATTTCGAAAGTAATTGGCCACTTCAAGTATAACCTCACTTATTGTAACTGAAATTTATTAATACCTGACATGTATCTTTAAACTCTTTGGAGGACCCAGCACAAATCATCAAATCGTCTACGATTCCATCTTTCAACGCAGTAGGTGAAATATCCCTTCTATACGTATAATTGCATTTGTCTACACTGAAGAATTCCAGTACTACTTTTAACAAGTCACTACTTGTGTCCCCTGAAAATTCAGTGACGCCCCATCCTGACGCTATAGCTTTCTCGAACGGAATATTTTTTTTCGTTTGAAGGCACGCTGGTCGTACGTAGGTGTTCAACTCTAGATTTCTTGAAAGCTTCAAGAGACCGACGTCATGGTATCTAGTGAAGGAGTATTCGGGATAAGGGATGATTTCGCTGACTGTCCGTTCTTGCATATGCGTGAGATCAGTCTTATTTGTGAAACCAACTCTTACCAGGGTCGCAGGGCCCCTAAAAATTGAGTACGTCAATAGGTAGTCCATAAGCGGTAAAATGTATTTAACGCTACAAATTTATTATTGTCCCGTGATCTAGAAGGCATTGTGACGTCATTTAGTGCGACCACAACCTACTTTTCGGTTTTCAGCCTTATATAAAAACAGGGGGCGTTGAGGTAACTGCTGACATTTGTAGCCAAAGGATGTCAATAATGCTATTTAGTCAATTTTACTTTTTCACTAAATTTTACAAACAAAATTTTTGTTTCCCTTATAGTAATGAAATATTTCTAATCATAATTTGATACTTTTATAAACTAATTACAAAAATATATGTAATGTATCATTTGTAGTTACATATTTGAGACACTTCTTAAGTAATTCTTAACAAAAAGTTTTTCGAAAGCCATTATTAAAACTTAACCTTTTTAAAAAATAAATTTCTTACCTCTACTTAAGGAAGGTATATCTAATTACTAGATACTGCATTTTCTGTATCAGTGAAGTAGTTTTTAAATTTATTTGAATAAAAAAATTACTATATCTATTTTGCATGAAAACAAATAGTTTATCTAAGAAATTCAATCCCCACAGATTCATGGATCCCCAGAGAAGAATTTACTCTCTTTCAATGCGGTAGGCTTGCTCAAAGTCACAATTATTTAGTCCCTTTAAACCTAGTTATTTATAAAAAAGTGTATGTTAGAGTTAAATAAAGTTTTTGTGCAGGATTATAAAGCAAGATTCTACAAGAGAAGCTCGTAGAATTGCATACACTATTCTCTTGTATTTTCTAGACCTCTATTTGGAGTACTAAAGATAACAGCTTGATGCTTGTGCTGTTGCCTCGGCTGTTATTCATCTTTTCAGTTTTTGATCGCACTAAATGACGTTACAAATTAGAGCGGCAACAAGCACCCGTTTAAATTGTTTAACTTGTTTATCTAATGAACGATGTAAAGAATACTTACAGTTGTTGTTTCTTCAAGCAATGTGCAGAGGTGAGGACAAAATTTTCACTTATGACAGAGCCCCCACATCCCCATAAAACTTCATTGTCGGTTTTATAACCTATAAGAGCCTAGAAACAGGTAAATTTGACACAAAAATAAAATTTTTGTTTGCATTTAATTGCTCAGTACAGGATAATTTAAACTACTGCAACTTTTTAATTATTGAAATTTTGTGAAAAGTTTTGTTATTAATAAAAAAAATGTTTATTCCGAACCCCTTTACCTACCCTTAAATTTTCCTTCATACATTATGAATTACCCTATATATATTCTCGTTTAGTAGTAATAACTCTGACTAAGCATATAGACTGATAAATTTTTCGATTGATTACCTACTCCTGAAGAAATTATTAAAAGTAAGATGAAACGTCGACTCAATTTTAAAAATCCATGTTATGAATTATTCCATATCTATTAATATTAATAAATATGAATAAAAATACACTGAAGACGGATATGAACTGAATAAAACAAATACAGCAAACAAAAACAAACAAAACCGAAATAAACAAATGAAGTATGTTTTTTCCACGTAGATAAGGCAACAGAAACAATTTGAATCCAGTGATTATTATAAATGATACCCAGTAATATTAATAGGAAAAGACATGTACCATATGCGGAAATTCCCTTCTTGATGCCAATGTTCCTCCTACAATAAGTTGGATTCTATGTTGGTCACACTCAAGCGTGTTTGAATAATGTCGAATGATAGATAGGGTGGGGGATTGAGACCTTTCATAAGCGTATTTTGCGTATTCCTTGCATTCTGGAAATAAATAATTTATATTAGTAGTCAGAAGGAAGATCATTTTAACCCAAGCAGCTTTAGCGAACTGAATAATTGAATGGCATGTGTTTTTAAGTCTGCGTCTCCAAAACCAATGATCTTAGACTTGACTTGATTCTTTAAGGTCTTTTTCCCTAAAATAGCACAAGTGGCAACCTCTTGCAGTTATGAAATGGATTTGATTTCTAATATTTTTTGTTTTTGACCAAGCAAAAATAAAACATACTCTGTTTGCTGATATCTCCTGGAGTTCTACTGGTAGTGTTTGCTGCTCCACGATCTTGAGGTTTATATGTTGGTTTAGTGGACTCAGGCACTGATGTGGTCATCGTGGAAGCGCTGGTACCTTTCAGCACTTCTTCGTTTTTACAACAAACGATTGACAGAGTTCCTTGGAATCCACATATTATTGGATAGACTCCTGTTCTTAACAGCTGCATAGCGGTCGGACATTGCGTAATGAATTTGCAGGTGCCTTCGATGCCATCTTTTAAAGAACATTTGTCACCTAAGGGATGGGCATTAACGAACATTTTTTGAATAGATTATCTACTAGATGGTTTAACTGAAACATTGTTTTTCGACTTCACTTTAAAGAAGATAATCAAAGTTCATGTCTGACTCTGAGCCATCTGAGAATATATCTGATGTTTTTGAATCTTCTGATTCTAGAGCAACATGTTTTATAAAATTGTTTCATTAGGCAGCATTTCATTTAAGATTCAATTACAAAAACTAAAAAAAGTATCTTCCAGTTACTAATCATTTTTACAGGAAATTTAGAACAAGATTAAAATACTTGTAAAGCGGCAGTCATATGTTACTAACATATATAACTCACCTTCATATAAAATGGCAAAAGAACCACCGGAAAGTAAAAAAATAAATAAAACAACGTTGGGACTAAGCCTGCTGGACATGTCGCTTCAAAAAGACTAACTTATTTAACGAGCCTGTTTGTGCGATATCAGCTTTGATGACCCCAGACCTCGGGAAACTTTGTTTTGGATATTCCTTAGTAGAATAATATTTTTTTTTCGATGAGAACTATAACAAGCACATGATAATGATAAAAATGGGAAAATTATCGCATGCCACCTTCAAATTCACGATAATCACAAATCGTTTAAAAAATGTGATAAGGAAATCAAATGAGTAGCGCATGCGGGGGGTAACGTAAAAATGTAAAAATATTTTAAGTCATGTTTTCTTGGATTAATTTGGTATTTCCGCCACAATGAAAATAATATTTTAATAAATATTGCAAAGGGTTGGTTTTATAATTTTACTTAACCAGAAATATGTAATTACCCTCAGAAATTTACTTTGGTCCACAGACTCCGGATCAGATCCATTGATCTGAATATTTAACCTAGATAATTCTTCTTACCTATGATGGAAAGGCCTCATTTTAGTTTTGTAGCTGTTAAGATAAAGTTTGTCGAATTACACCAGGTAGAAAATTTTTGTATCATTACATTACTCCGAACTTCTAATTTTTCATCAATTTTTTCAGGGTTGCAAAGTCAGTGTCTACGTTTAATGCGTCTTATCGGGATTGATATCTTGCGCTGAGGAGTGTATATATATTTTTTTGTAAATAATATAATCCATTTATTTCAAAAGGTTAAAAAAACGCTTTAACGATTCAGGGGTATATTTTAGAAATTATTTAAATTTACAATTTTACCATCATTTTATTAATCAATCCATCAATATTTATGTTTATTTTTATTTTATTTCGTATGGTACAACTTGCCATGCAGTTTTGGGAGGGTTTTTGGAATTCATTATTTAGAAACCCTTACCACATCCCTATTACAATCGTAAATGTAAAAAACAATAAACAGGTCCTCAGTTCGGCCAAACAGTGTCTTCTATCCCTTTTATGCAAGCTGATACTCTGGTGTGAACCCCTACCCTAGATAGTCGTCAAAACTGCAGGCTCTTATAAATGAGATTACGCCGATTATATCGTACATGGATTTTATTTCTTCAGTTTCTTTGTGGTATACTTAAAGAGGACCCCCAAAGTCGCCCTAAAATTAAATAAATATACAGGATGAGTCAATTTTTTTTTAATTAAATATATCAAAAACGGTTAACTTCGCGGTAAATCCGTTGCTTTGAAAAACCCCATAAAAAGAAATCTAACGAATTTAAGTCGGGACTTATTGGGGGCCATTTCACAGAACCGAAAATACTTTTTTTATATTTTAATAATTTAAGCCCTTAGTTTTTGTTCTTATTTGCATAATTATATATTTAATTAAAAAGATTCATCTTACCGGCATTGAATTATACTCGCAACACCTAGTGCAACAGCTAGGATCGTTCGTCAGTTTAACCCACTAGGCACAGACCGGTTTCGGACTTATTGGTCCTCATCAGTGTGTCATAGGTGAGACAACTGCCGAACGATCCAGCTGTCTTGCGTCGTATCGTCACGACAAGGAAATACATTGTACGCAGGAGCGTAAATGGGTTAATTTTGGCCAAAGAACGCCCTGTAGAAGTTTATTAACCGAATTTAGATATCTCCTGTACTAGTGTTAAACAGCTCCAGCACGATTATAGAAAAAAAAATGTATTTACCTGATTGTTTAATATTGAATACTGACAATAAATATGCTATTTCTGGTAATAGTATAACGGTAAATAACATACCATATGAGGAAATTCTCGTCTAGATGCCAAAAACCATGAAAACAGTTTGTTATTTCTAGGAATGTCACATACTAGTCTTTTTGTAAAATGGGGGTTAAGTAACAATGTAGGAGATAGGATTTTTTCGTAGGCATATTCCGCATATTCCTCACATTCTGAAAATAATTTTCTATGTTAATAACAGGTGACCAGTGTTTTTAAGAAGACGAAACTATATTTTTACTTTGTTTGCTTATGTCTCCTGGTGTTCGAATTGTTCTTGTGATGCAACATACAGTCCATTCATTTTCTTCGATCCCACAGATGGCCGGTTGAACTCCTGTCTTTGTCGGTTGTAAAGCTCAATAAGAAAAAGTATGCCATTTCATTAAAAGAAACTGACTTTCGGTCTGAATGGGTAACTTCCGGTGGGAGCCGGAAGTTGAAAATACCTCCAATCGATCCGGCATAGTCCATTCACTAAGGAGGTATCGAATTTTTCATTTCATTAGATACCTAGATCTCTCTAGATTTCAGAAGGGGTAGACGGGTGGTCTGAAACACCCTGTATACATAGACTAAAAGGTGGTATGGGAACGAGAGGTGCGGAAATTTCAAAACCATTAAATTTTTAAATAAAAATATTTACTACATACTTACAACCACTCATAAATTTAAATAAAAAGTTATCTTCAGTTCGGCCAAACAGTGTCCTCTATCCACTTTATGTAAGCCGCTACTCTGGTATGCACTCCTGGAGGGTTTTCGAAACCGCAGTCTCTTATAAATGAAGTTACGCCAATAATATCGTACATGCATTTGATTTTATCAGTTTCCTCGTGGTATATTTGAAGAGGACCTCCAAAGTCTCCCTAGAAAAAAAATATATACTTGTTGCTAAATAGTGATATAATAGTAGGGTTCTTATGCCGTGGATTATGTACCTGGTGATTCATAACGTACGAGACCTTATTGCCAAGGTGTTGCAGAGAAAGGAAGGGGGGATAAGGCTCATTTCAACACTGAAAGTCCAAGTTTGATCCAGAGGATCAAGCTGGCATTCATCACTGAGGCATATCGTATACCATGTGAATTCTGAGAGGATTATACAAGTATGATAAAAAGATCAGTTGTTAGAAGAAGGAATAAACATGAAAGAGTCTTAAGATTCAACCAGTCGTCCAACATGCCTTAGATGAAGGACATATACATTTCGAAGACACAGAGGTACTTGTGAGAACGACAGCCAGTGCAAGGGGAATCATTAGAAATCTAAACAAGTTCCAAATAATATGTACAATGAAGAATGCTTTCGGATGACTGAGATCTGGTTACCTCTCCTAAAGAACAAACAACGACGTGAGGGAAGAATATGTGATATACCACCACGCATGTCTGAAAGCATAGCAATGGCACCAGCGAAACCGTAAACGAACGTGAGACCACACCCTCCATCCTACCGCGCAAGCCCGGAAACAAGCGTATTTGAGGCTACATCCTCCACTCCAAAGATCCAGAGTCACACGCGGTGATAACGTAAAAAACGTCGAAGACTTTATCGACAAGATATGAGGACCTGAACTCCAACCAGAAGATATCCTGGTGAGCTTCGATGTTACATCCCTATTTACGAAATTACCCGTCGACGAAGCCCTTGAGGAAGACTAATCGTAGAGGACAAGGATGAGAGCCTAATGGATTTGGTAAAAGTGTGAATAAAATCGACCTTCTTTGCATTCCGGGACCAATTCTACGAACAGACGGAGGGAGCAGCAATGGGTTCACCGTTATCTCTAGTCCTGGCCAATATATACATGGAAACCTTTGAGAAGAAAACCCTGGAATTCACAACGTTGAAGCCTAAGTGTTGGTACTGATATGTTGACGACACCTTCATCATCTGGCCCCGTGGACGCAACATCGTAGCGGATTTTCTGGATCACATCAATGGGATACATCCAGATATCCAGTTTACCATACAAGTAGAGAAAAATTACGCCCTTCCCTTCTTAGATGTTTTGGTTGAGAAGAAACCAGATGGCACTTTAAGATATCGAGTATATAGAAAGCCAACTCACACAGACATATATTTGAATGCGGTGCCCAGAAACAGGGGATCATAAATACGTTGAACTAGAACACATACTCTTCCCTTTCAGAGGGAATGGCTACAAGGCGAGAAATATCGAACGAGCTATCAGGAGGATAGGAAGTCGGAGAAACGTGAGTACTTCGCGACGACATATCTACCTTACGTGAACTGTTGTATAGATAAAATAGGGCGTCTTTTGAAGAAGAGGAATATCAACACAGTATTCGGCACTGTAAAGAAGGTGGCGGCAGCGTTTCCAAATTCCTGCAACAACAACCAGCTCCAGGGCCCCGGCATGTACAGTATTCCTTGCTCTTGCGGAAAGGTCTACATAGGACAAAGAGGAAAACACATCAACACGTTGTTAAAGGAACACAAAAGTCACCTCAAGAATTAGAACTGGGAAAAAATCGTCAGTAGCAGAACATAGGGCGGACACGGGACACACAGTGGATTTGGGTGAAGCCAACATGGTGATGAGAGAGATATGATGTTGGCTTCAACTATACAGAGAAGCATTAGAAATTTACAAAACTTTGAACAATTTTAACAGGGATGGTGGCGTGGATCTGCCAGGAAGCAGCCCATTGGAACGTCAACAACGCGTACGAGGTCACCCACCGGAACGTCACGGATCAGTGACCACTTCAAATATAAATAGTGACTGAGTAACTTCTGAGTGAAGAGAGCAATATGTCAAGGGTTGTAAATCGACGACGTGGCAACCAGCCCCGAAATCATTCAACCAATGACGTCAACTGTATCTGAGAGGTTCCATCCGTAGTGGATTAAGAACCAACAAAAAACGAAATGAAAATCAAGGCGGTCCGCGGGCCCGTCCCCACAGAGCTTAGCTCGAGAACGATAGGGGCAGATCAAAGATTCCCAGATAAGGACAAGGAACTGCAAGATAATTCTGTACTTAGACCACGTCGTAACAACTTAAAAATCCATCACTGGCCGTGAAAGCCTTAAATTACTATATTTTTCTATATTTTAGTTAAGTCTTTCGCAGCTTTTGTTTACGTTTAGTATTGGCATTTAGTTAAATATTCTTATTTAATTTATTGAATAGTTTTATAATATATTTAATTAAATGTACGCATCTTACTCTACATATGGCTGTCATTATGGAAGAATACCCAGCGCAAATCATCAAATCCTCGACGATTCCATCTTTTAACACACCGGTGGGTGAAACGTTTTGTTTATAGCCCTGATTACATTCATCTCCATAGAATAATTCCAACGTTGTTTGCATCAAATCCTTGTTCCTTTTTTTCCCAAATACAATAAGATCACTCCATCCTGAGGCTATGGCGAAGTAATAGAAGGAATATTTTTCTGTGTGCAGGCAAGCTGGTCGTGCGTAGGTATTAAACTGTATGTCTTTTGAGAGTCTCAACAGACCGATGTCGTGGTATTTACTGGGGTACTCGTATTCTGGATAAGGGATTATTTCATTCACTGTTCGTTCTTGCATATGCGTGGGGTCTGTCTTGTTTGTTAAACCAACCCTTACCAGCTTCGCAGGATCGCTAAAGATTTGGGATATGAATTAGTCCGATATAAAACGACAAACAATTAAATAATTAAATATCAGCTGCAAAAAATTGCTAAGAAGTATATTTTCCTACTTTTGGAATTTAATTCATAAACACCACTCATTCAACTTATTTTAGTCCAGTCTGCTGAGATCCAGTGATTATGGAAGTTTTGCATAAACCTCAAATGTTGTAGAATAACATATTAAAATACACGAGTAAGGAAAAAATGTTATTAACAATTTACGTCAAGAAAAATACATTTTTGTCTGCTTTTCTTCAATATCCCGGTTGGACCGCAGCAAAAGATTTAAAAAATGTAGTGAAGCCACCTTGTAGTGTAGTGAATTTCATTCAAATGATCTTTTGAATTTTTTTCGCGGAATAAGATTCAACCGAGATATTGAACCATTGTGTATAATGTCGCTCTTACTCCTGTATGCAATAATTTTATTTCTGACAGAAGTCACGGTAAGAAAAAAACTAAAACAGTCGACAAGTTCTGTACTTACTTTGAAGGTGTAAACAAGCACTGTGCAGCGGTGAGTACAAAGTTTTCACTTATGAGGCAGCCCTGACAATTCCATATAACTTCATCTTTAGGTCTATAACCAATAAGTGCCTAGAAGTAAAATTGTTCCTCTGACAGACATAGGAATGACATGTTTTTGGATGTGTTTCAAATTTAAAACAGATGTGTAAGAAATCACGTGTATGCAGGATGACATCAACGAATGACGGTAGTTGAAAAAATTATTGCACAAGAGAAATTTTGCTAAATCACAAGGTTGATGATGATGATGATGTGCAAATTTTAGATCTTAATGTTAACATTTGAGGTCGTAGCGATTTTTTGAAAAAAAAAAAAAGAATTCTCGGCTCCTTACGAACGTAGGATATTTTTTTAAATTCGTGAAAAAATTTCAGCTTTCAAATGGCAATAACGCCATTCCGATTAAATTTCAACGAAGAGAAAAAGATCTACATTGTTCGACACGAAAAAAAAATGTCAAAATTTCGGTAGATTTTTCGCATATTTCCAATTATTTTTTCAATACGCGCATATTTTACACAGGAAAGTACAACTTTTAGAAAAATCTTAAGAATAAGATGAGTCACGTAAGTGCATTATTGTATGATTTATTGAAACTTGAAAAAATGTCTATTTATCGAAAAACTCAATTTTTTCAAAAACCATCACGTATTTTGCAATTTTACAAAATTGCACTTATTCTATATATATATACCAAGGACTACATATTCTGAACGTTTCGTACAAAATTTTTCGTTTCAAATATATAGAAGTTTAAAAAAGACGATTTTTAGCAGTTTCCTTTTGCAATAATTAATACATTTGTTTATCAATTGACTAGGCTCAAAATTTTTGTTATAAAAAATTCTACAAATTTTGTCTAAAATATTTTTTTTCTAAAATGTTTATTATTTTTTTTTAATGAAAAAACTATTTTTTGCGAAATTTGGAGGCCATTTTGAATAATTCTAAATATTTCGAATTTTCACCCCCAAGAACGACAGTGACAACATTTTTAAAATTATGGCGATGTTTCGCATGGTACTAGCTATATCTGTACAGATTTAGTTTCGCGCAACTCACTCGGTTTCAAAAATACAATACCTATGTACGTTTTCAGCCACGAAATTTGAATAATTCTAAATATTTTGAATTTTCACCCCCAAGAACGGCAGTGACAACATTTTTAAAATTATGGCGATGTTTCGCATGGTACTAGCTCTGTCCTGTACACATTTAGTTTCGCGCAACTCACTCGGTTTCAAAAATACAATACTTTTAATGAAAAAACTATTTTTTGCGAACTTTGGAGGCCATTTTGAAAATGAAGCCCTAGCATTCAGCTGGAGTAAAGTAGTTCATTCAATTCTACGGAATTTTTCCTAATTTTTACGTGTCTTTGTTTACTGAACTAAAATTTTGGCAAAAAAGGAGGTATTTTCGACAATTTGACTGGCATATTAAATAGTCGTTGTTAGTGTATGCAAGCATTTATTTGTAAGCTAAGACGATCATCACAGCATTCTTTGATATAATTGTTACGGTTACTTTAACAAATTCTTTTAAGAGCAATAATTTTTTCGATTCTCTGGTGCTACAGGGTCTGAATTTTGTACAACGTTGTATAAGTAAATATTAACCACCAATAGCAAAAATGCGTACCAAACTTGGTACAGGCTTATGTGGTAATTGTTAACAGTTGAAGAATTTCTGAACTGTTTGTTTAATATTGATCCAATCTTTATTAAATCTTGTTATATTTAAATTTTATTCATACCATTCAGCCCAGTCGTTTTGGTTAAATGCCGATGATGACGGTTTATGATAATTGCAAATTATAGTAACACTGATTGATAGCAATAATGGTGTCGTTAGTATAGTATAGCAGTAGATAGTAATAGCATGCATACCATATGAGGAAATTCCCTCCTTGATGCCTCACTACTCCCCGAAAAAAATTTGTTGTTCCTCTGAATATCACATACAAGCTTTTTTGTAATATGCGGCTTAAGCAACAATGTGGGAGATGGGATTTTTTCGTAGGCGTATTCCGAATATTCTTCACATTCTGAAAATTATTTCGAATGTCAGTAAACAAAGGCGAAAGCTGAAATAAAGAGCCAGTCAAGATTTCTAACACGACTAAGCTGCTTACTTTGTCTGCTTATATCCCCTGGTTTTCTACCGTTAACTTGATTGGTTGTGGTGGTGGTATTAATAGTTTTCGCCTGGTCTTCACCATCTTTGCAACACACAATTGATGCAGTCCCTTCGATTCCACATATAACCGGAAAAACTCCGGCCTTTATCAGTTGGTTAGCGGAGGGGCACGCCTTTATAAGCTTGCAAGTGCCTGAGCTTCCATCTTTTAAAGAACATTTGTCTCCTGAAGTGTAAATGTTGGTAATAAAGATAAATACAGGGTGTTCTAATTAAAACTTCCCACCTGGAAAATATCTAACCAAAATTTAAAAAGTCGTGAGCAGAATTAATAAAGCTTTAAAATGAAGTGTCACTCACCATAGAGTGCCATTTAATGTTTAAGGGTACTTTACATCCCTGCCTAAGGGGTGGCTTCCAAGACACCAAAACTTACGCCCTCACGTGTCCCCCTTGAAAAGAAAATCGACGTGTTTCAGGTTTTTTATTTCCGATATTTTCTAGGAGAGAAGTTTTAATTGGAACACACTGTATATAGTTTTTAGTTTAGTAAGTTGCGAAACTGTTAGACATGTATGCAGTCAAAGCCAACTTCAATGTGTAAGCTCTTTTTTATTACTCGATCTTTCGGAATAAATTATTCCTTCTTCAGGAGAAACTACGATGGAACACAGTAATACTTTAAGGTTTTGTTCTTAGTTTATATGTGGATACTTTTACTATAATTATTTCTTTTATGATTATTACTTTTCAGAACTTACACAAATTCACTATGTTGTATAATCATTACAATCACTGATAACTGATGACTCACCTTTATTTAAAGCGGCAAAGGAACTACGCCAAAGAATTAAAAAAGATATTAACACGTTGAACTTGGCAGACATACTGCTTCCATGAGACTAACCTTAATCGAACCCACTGCAGTATCAGTCTCGCTATTCACGGAAACGTTGGGGATTTTATTCTACTTATATTACGTAGTACAAAAATGCGGTTTGGGAATACTACTATTGATGATAATAATCAATTATATAAAGAGAACTGTTTAGTAATAATAATTTCAAATCTATAGTACAGAGCTTCTTATGGCTGGCGATACAGTAAGAATGAAAAAAGAGACAGCACTTATTTTGAGAAATATGTGAGGTGTACGTTTCTTGTGATCGCTGAATCATAGGTCGATGTCCGATAGACGAGGTTAGCTCTTGTTCAAGGTTATTTGAAGGTCAAGTCATGTTTTTTTTATTGTAATATAATTGGCGACCGCAGGTTCCACAAGAGCGAGAAATTCTACGTTTGAATACGTGGTCGAGTTATTTTTTAAAACAATTTTCAAGGTCAATGAAGATCAAATTGTCCTCTTGATCTTTTGAGGTTGGTATCTCATCAAGATATAGAGAAAACCCCTATAAAAGTTGTTTGAGTCATCGGGGACCACCATCTGGTGACCTTGGATATGACATTAAATTTTTTTCTCCGTGAGACTGTGTAATCATTCTATATTTATCTGTAGAATTGTAACTTAGACAGGGTGATTCACAACTTATCCAAAAAAAATTAGGAATAGATGCGGCATGAGAAATGGAGTCAATATCGTAAAAAACATTTTTGTAAAATCCTTAGTTTCCGAGAAAGAAATTATTGAAGTTGTAGTATTTTTCACCATTACATAGCTGGACAACTGTAGTCTCTGACGTCATTCGTAATACGCGTGGAGAGCCACGTGGCCTCAGCGACTCCGAACACTGAAATCCGATTTTATAGTCGTCGTTGCCATAGTGTTTACAATAGTTTTTTAGTAGTTAGTGTCAAAAATGACTTGCGTCTATAGCAAATCGGAGTTGATGGATATCGTTTTAATTTATGGTGGTATTCTATTTATTCCTTTCCTTGCGAAATTCCGTTTTTATCACTGCCGTCGTGACGGTCGCATTGTGCCAGGTCAGGTTTTACAGTGAACCAGTTTCCAGCGCCGTGCAGAAGTGTATTTTTAAATCATTTTCGAACTGCACTTTTTGATTTTTTCTTTACAAAGTTGTATTTGTAAGAGTCCCCTGTGCATCCAAATTTTTTTTTTGGATAAATTCTGAATCACCCTGTATAAGTCAGCATGAGATTAAGTTATAGAGAATTTAGGCTCTCTGGGTTGGTCATGAATTTCAGTTCATCGGCAACACACAGTCTAGATATTTTAGATGACTTGCAAACTATTAAACATTCCTCTAATTGCTTAAAATGATTAAAAACTTGAAACTTTTGTATTTTGTAAACTAAAATTTTTATTGGTGTAATATTATAATCACATATAAAAAAAGTGTTTAATTCGCCCAAACGGTATCTTCTATCCATTCTACGTAAGCCGATACTCTAGTGTATACTCCTGGTATATCTTTGAAACCGCAGCCTTTTGTAAAGGAAATCACTCCGACAATATCATACATACATTTTACTTCTTCAGTTTCCTTGTGGTATACTTGGAGAGGACCTCCAAAGTCGCCCTAAAATAAAAAAACTTATTAGTTGCTAAATAGTGAATAATAGTAGTAGTAGAAGTACCTTTTCCAAAAAATATTCTTTAAAATTTAATAAAACCTTTATTTCTACGCCCATGAAAATATTTTTTTCGAGAACTGTCATCATCGATCAAGTCGATATTTTCGTTAAATTTTCATTTGACAAAGTGAGTCTTTTTTGCTACCTAGGTGCAAAATACTTTTATGTTCTAGAACGCCAAAGTCTTTTTCGTTCTAAAACGTAAAAGAAATGCCAAAATAATTATTTAATTTTTTCCAAACTTATTTATGATTTTATTAATTAAACAATATATATTTTAAGTAGGTAATACAACATTTCAATACAAAACAGTAATTATTATAAAAAGGAGGATTACAATTTATTTTGCAAAACATGTAAATTCAAAGTGCCGATATTGTAGGGAGTTAAATTTATGCCAGATCCAATTCTGTCAGTTAATAGTTTTATATTATATTTAATTAAAAGTGTACGTATTACCCAACAGATAGTCTTTACAGCTTTTGTTCTCCCGGCACAAATCATCAAATCGTCGACGATTCCATCCTTCAGTCCACTGGCAGATGAGATGTCCCGACTATACGTGCTACTACATTTATCTGCACCGAAAAATTCCACCTCTGTTTCCAACAACTCGTTGCTTTGTTCTTCCCCAAAGCCAACGGCCCCCCAACCTGACATTATGGCGTAGTCGTAAGGGATATATTTTTCTGTGTGAAGGCACGCCGGTCGTGCGTAAGTGTTAAACTTTACGTTTTTCGATAGTTTCAATAGGCCGATGTCGTGGTATTTGGTGTTGTTGCGTTTGGGATATGCGATGATTTCACTCACTGTTCGTTCTTGCATATGCGTGGGATCTGTCTTATTTGTGAAACCAATTCTTACCAGCTTAGCAGGACCGCTAAAAATTTCGGGATATTAATTAATTAGAGAATGACAAACATTTATTTTTTGTAAGTATCAGTTTCCACAAATTGTCAAAAACAATTGCAGAAAATCTACTATGGAAATGTAATTCATAATGATCTGTTTCTTTAAGTTATTTATAGTAGGCGAGCGGTGCACCCCTAAAAGGACGCCCAAAAAAACGAGCGGAACGACTACGGAGGGGGGCCAGGATGAAATCTTTTCTAATCGCTATATTACGTTGTTGCGAACAAAAAACCTTAATGACATTTTTCTGTATCGATGGTCAGTAATTTGTTATTAACAAAAAACTTGTCGGGGCTTGTAACCCAAAGAGTAGTTACTTCCCGCAATGTCATCAGTTATGGCCATAGTACCTGCGACACAGATCGTTTTCTGCCACCAGTAGATGATATTTTGTTTTTATTAATAAAACGGACGGACAATTCACTTTTACAAAACCAGTACTTACTCCGAACGTGTAACCAGGCATTGGGCTGCTGTGAGTACAAAGTTTTCGCTTATAAGAGAGCCCCCACAATCCCAAATAACTTCGTCGACAGGTTTATATCCAATAAGGGCCTAGAATCAGAATTAGTACTCAGGTAGCACAGGTATAAAATGTTTTGTTGCATTCTACATTGTATTGGTTTCTTCAGCAGGGTGTAGCTCTTGTAAAATACTAGGCAGGGCTGATGATGATGACCGTACATGACAGTAGTGAAGGTGATAATAAATACTGATTGATGACAATAATATTAATAATGATAACGGTGTACCTAATAATAATGTAAAAAACATAATAGCGTGTATACCATATGAGGAAATTCCCTCCTTGATGCTGTGGTACTTCCCGCAAGCAGTTTGCTCCTGTGAATTTCGCACACAAGATTTTTTGTAAATTGCGGTTTAAGCAACAATGTGGGAGAATAGATCTTTTCGTAGGCATACTCTGCGAATTCTTTGCATTCTGAAAATCACTTTGTGTGTTACTAAACAAACGAGAAAATCGAAATAGTTATCATTTACAAAAAATTTTCAAGTGAATCAGTGGACAAAACTGAATTTTACTTTTCTTGCTTATATCTCCTGGTGTTCTACTGGTAACTGGATTAGGCGTTCTAGTGGTACTAGTTGTTTCCGTCACATCATCTTCGCAACACACAATAGGTTCAGCTGCTTCGAAACCACATATTGCAGGATTAACTCCTTTTTCTATTAGTTGCACAGCGGTAGGACATTCCTTTATAAGCTTACAAATTCCGTCGCTTCCATCCTTTAAAAGGCATTTGTCTCCTGAAAGGTAAACATCAAGAATATTAAAACCTAACAGCTCCCACTTTGTGTTTGTACTTTCAGCAATATACATCTTTTGGCAATAATTAAGTGTTTTTATAGAACATTTCATAAATTTACGAATTTACCTATTTTATTTTATTTTATTTACAAAATCCAACCACATTAGTATTAATATTAACACTACGATTTACCAAATGAGATTTTTTTTATACTATTAACAGATCTATGTCGGCATCACACTTGTAACCGCTTACAAATTCGTAGCCACTAGAGGATCTGTCACCGTCGATGGAATATTGGAGGACTGTTTTGTTTATGTTTCTAAAATATTGTTATCTCTTTAGGAGTTCATTTTTAGACTGTTTGTGAAAGACCATCATTATCTAACTTTTGTAAACACTTCCTTATATGGTCATGTTTGGTAAAAAGTAAACTGATAGGGTAGAGGAACGCACAAGGGAACGCAACAAAAATGAAAAAGTATTTCCAATATTACAGAAATTAATTGAGTAACATTAACAAGGTTGGTAGTGATCGAGCGTCCGTTCATAAATCTGTGTTGACGAATGGCTGTACAAGAGTATTGCTAAAACTTTGCAAAGATGAATGTTAATAGCTAACAGACACGATACCACATAACTGTTATTAAATACTGTATCGGTATTCATCTATATCACTACCACACAGATTACAGCAACATTTTAGGAAACAGTTGTTTATCTTACACGGGATAATGATTATTTCCAAATCGTCGAAATCCACAATCCTCAGTCTAGCAATTCATGAAATCTTGTATATCATTACCATTTCTATTTACAAATATCACTAATTTAGATTTAAGAACGTACTCAATAATTGTTGATTTAATAACTGAAAATCTAAATGTCTGTATTATGGATTGTTGTGATAAAATCAGTGATTGAATTGAAACCCAGACTGAAGAAGAATAACAGTAACTTGTAAATACTATTTCAAGTATTTCAGAAGAATGCGATTCAGAAATATTTAAGAATACAATGAAAATGCGGAACAAGTGATTATTAAATATTATTTCAAATGAACAGTAGATCGTTGCCTATATTTGTTTTGTGGGGATACTATTTTGATGTTCGTACATATTTTATTTACATACATAATAAGTGTACGCTATTTTTCCCCGCATCTGCTCGTAGATGTATATGCTACAATATAAAACGTAATTAACACTAAATATAACAATAACAATAACTAACCTTTATATAAATCAGCAGAGAAACCACGTGACAGAATAAGAACAAATAAAAGCACACTGTAATCAAACCGGATAGACATGATGTGCCCAGGAAACTAAACTAACTTGTGTACGAGTGGTATCACCGTCGACGACTTGGAGACCTTGGGAAATTTCAGTTGATTTACACTACGTGGTTAGGAAGAAGCTTTACGAGATTTTATTACTAATAAATAAAAGGAAAGAAAGAACTAATTCAGTAATCAACGTAATAATGAGAAATATAATGCAGTACAATTAAGGGAGAGACGAAACACATTGTGTATTCAGAAACATATATTGATGAAAATAATTTTTCGCCGTAAGTAGACATTGGTAGAGTCTAGCACTAGCATTATTTACGTTAAACAAGTTCCCTTTTGTCAAAGGAAACAATTTACTGATTCAATCCCATATTTTCAATAATGAAATAATGTTTTATCCTCGTAAAAATATTTATTGCGGCTTCTATGATAATAGGTTTGTTTCTGCAGCAGTCTCAAACGGTTTTCAAACTATCAGATATACTGGGCCAATTCAGTTGTCACGTAATATCAGCGAGTATAAAGTTACGAATCAATTGGTCAANGAAACATACATTGATGGAAATAAATTTTCGCCGTAAGTAGACATTGGTAGAGTCTAGCAAATTATTTACGTTAAACAAGTTCCCAAATTTTGCCAAAGGAAGCTTCACTCCCATATTTTTAATAATGGTACAATGTTCTATCCTCGTAAAAATATTTATTGCGGTTTCTATGATAATAGGCTTGTTTCTGCAGCAGTCTGAAACGGTTTTCAAACTATCAGATATACTCAGCCAATTCAGTTGTCACGTAATATCAGCGAGTATAAAGTTACGAATCAATTGGTCAACTATCTCAGTTCCATAATCAGTTCTCAACTGCTGCAGAACAGACCTATTTATTGTCATAGGTAATTTTTTAATTTTGAAAAATTTCTATTTACAAAATTGAAAATTTTTTTTGTAATTGTAATTTTTTAATTAATAGTACAAAAATAATTTAAAAAAATCGAAATTTTACAAGATAAATATGATTAATTGTTGTTTAAATAAATAAATAATAATACTCAATCACCTAGAAACTTATTTTAACTTTCACATTCACAAAAATAAATTTATTAGACAAAATAATACCGAAAGTAATAAAAATAAAAAAAGTATCGTTGGTTAAAGACATGTCTCGGTTGATTTTAATTGTACAAACTTCTACCAGGTACCATTTTAAAGGTCTTGAAACCAGCTTTCATTTGAATATGGCATTACATCTACCTAACTTAACTCAGAAAAAAGTTATAAGACGAAAATCGTCAAAAAAGGGCAAAAATTGGCCAAAAATCCAAAAAATAGCCAACTTTGATCCAATGTATCTCGGTTTCTATTAGTCGTAGATACTTTTATAAACGTTTATTTTAAAGGAAAAAACATAAACTTTTTTTCTGTGAAGCAATGCCTGTACCTAACTCCTCTCAGAAAACTCACTTTTTCGTTTTTTTTACTCGTTTTTTGGGCATATTTTTGTTAAAAATAAATTTTTTTGACTTCAAAAGGTCTCATTTCGATTGGAAATTCAATTTGCTACAACTTTTCTGTGACAACTATAGTGAAAAAATGCATAATTTTCGAGTAAAACTCAAAAAACTGAAAATATCACCTTTTTACTTTGTTCTCGAAAACGCACCCCTTTAAAAGGTAGTACTCCGCGGTTTTATCATTTTTTACGGTCAATTGAACATATCAAACAATAAAATTTCTGTTAGGTTGTAGTTCCTTTGTACCCTCTTTTTCTTACATAGTCAATAGCCTATAAATGAAAAATAACAAAATGAGAAGAAAAAATCTATATAACAAATATTTCCGTTAATAGAGTTCAATTTTTTAAAACAATGTTTCAATGAATATGTTTACATCTTCCATATTATTTATAACTGTAGATTGAAAGTGAATAATACAAATGAATACACATATTCTCCTAAATTCATACATTCATACAAATTAAATAAAAAACAAATACATTGAAATTAAAAGTAGTTATTCGTCCGGCCAAACGATGTCTTCTATCCATTTGATATAATTCGATACTCTGGTGTGCACCTCAAGGATGATTTTCGAAGAACATCTGTCTGTAAAGGCAGGTATGCCTACGACGTCGTACATACATTTGATTCCATCATCAAATTCCTCGTGATATACCTGAAGAAAGCCTCCAAAGTCTAACTGTAATTAAAAAAACAAATGTACCAATTGCTAAAGATCAGAAAGTAAGTATTTTACAAGAAGAACATGCAGATTTCAGGAAGCTGTCAAAAACATGAGATCCCCAAAAATACACTTTCTGTGTGGCGTGTAGATTTTTTGTGCCGCCACCAATGATTTGACAATAACAGAACTACAAAAGAATACTTATTGGCCATAAATTTATATAAAAAATATAACTTTGTTCTTAATATTTTTTTGTTTCTGAAAGTTTCAGATTGGTTTTGTTTATTTTCTACTTTAAATATTTTATTTGCTGTGTTTATATTATTCTAAATACATATAACCTTTCAAACTTCTGTGACGGGTATATTCTATTGGGTAGCGTAATTTTAGACAATTAGCTATATCGCAAGGAATATTTCCTATTGAATGATTTCCAATGGGTTGAGTAGTTGATTTATTGTTTTAAAATAATATGAACAATCTGCGATGTGGTGTTTTTTGGACATCCAATCCGTTGCCCAGCAACCTGGTTACCAAGGAACTGTGGTGCACCATCATGAATAAACCATAGGTCTCTTCTAATATTCATGGGTGCATCTTGTAATGGATAATTCAAAGTATGTTCCAAGAAATTTAAATACTGAACACCATTCAAATATGGCGGAAGCTCAACAGATCTAAATGGTGACTGATGATTCCAGTTATTACATCAATAGCAAATTGATGTTGGGAATGCTACATAATGTTTGCCTTTGGATTATCGTCATTTCATATAACTATTGTGCAACAATTCAGCAGTAATTCTTCTTTTAATGTACATTTTTCTCGAAATCTTTGGTCCATTGAATTAAATATTGTTTTATTGTATATGTATTTAATTAAAATAACGCATCTTAAGCCCCAACAAAACTACACGATATCAATATAACATCAAAATATGTCGAGACTGTATATTTTTTTATCTTCAAACGTTTTGACTGGTACTACGTATCGTAGGTCCTCGCATATCATATGAGAGGCTGCAACATCGATGTAACGTATCACCTGAATTCTGTGTTGATATTGTGCCATTATAATATCACCTTACCTGACATGTAGTCCTTACTGCTTTTGTTGTCCCGGCGCAAATCATTAAATCGTCGACGATTCCATCTTTCAATGTAGATGAAATATGCTCTGTATAAATCTGGTTACAATCCTCTCTACTGAAGGGTTCCAACACTGTTGCCAATAAATCTTTGCTTGGCTCTCTCTCAAATGAGACAGTACCCCATCCAGAGGCTACGGATAAACCAAAGGGGGAGAATCTGTATCTATTAAGGCACGCCGGTCTTAAGTAAGCGTTAAATTGTACGTTTTTTGAGAGTCTCAAAAGACCTATGTCGTGGTATAAGGTGTTATTGTATTTGGGATGCGGGATTACTTCACTAACTGTTAGTTCTTGCATATCAGTGAATTCTGATTCATTTCTGAAACCAACCTTTACATACTTCGGACGGCCCCTGAAAATTTCATACATTGGTAATTAAATGTGAACGAAGTTAATTGAAGGGGCAAGGGCACATTGTATACAGGGATTCTTCTGTAACTCTGTAACTGTAAAATTTATAAATAAATGGTTTTAATAAAAGTTGCCTGCAATAATGTGGGCCATGCAGAGAAAATACTTTTAGCTTTACAGGGTGTTCCATTTCGGGAGGGCGCTACATAACATTGTTAATTTAAATGGAACACCCTGTATATTATTGTATTTTTGAATTCCTTGGTTAATATTAGGTAGAGTTTTTTAAATATACATGGTGTTTAAAACTTACCGATTTCGAGATAAATTTTAAAGTTACAGAGTTACAGAAGAATCCCTCTTAGATGGAACACCCTGTGTATAAATGTTGAACTTACAGTGCTTGTGGAAACATGCAATGTGCAGCGGTGAGAACAAAGTTTTCACTTATAAGTGAACCTCCACATTTCCAAACAACACTGTCGTTTTGTTGATAACCAATAAGAGCCTAGAAATAAAAATTATTACAGTAGCAGTAATATGAGCAAATTGTACGTAGTTCAAGAGATGTTAAATTTAAAGTACAATATTTAAATATAAAAGATCGTTGCGGCAACAACTTATCAGTGATGACGATAAAAAGGAACTATTACAAAGTCTTAATGCCGATCCTCAATTTTATGAAGACACTATAAGTAAATTTGCAAATTTAAAAGAAACCTGTTTTATAAAAATATTCACTATGTTTTTAAAATATTTTGTTAAAAGTAGATGCAAACGAAAAGCTGACGGCGTTGTTTCATATGTAAATAGATAAGTTGGCCGGCTACCTTATGAATGAATATATTTTTTTATATTTTTTCATATTTTTTAATATTCATAATCCAAGTAAGAACAATTTTTTAGTTATTAGGTAAATATATCACTTTGTCTTTTTCTATTCTTAATTTTATTGTAAATACAATTTTTAAAGTTCTGATATTATTAACAATACATTTTTTTAATTTACGGTTATAGTAAGACCATTGGCGAAGATCTCCATATTAAAAAATGACGTGGAAAATTCCTATCTATTATTTGAGAGCAGATTAATAAAATATCTATTATTTTTTATAAAATCTGGATGAAAATCCTGCTCGTGAACATCCACTAAATATTTCCAGACGAATTAATGCTTTGATCTTGAAAATTAAAAAATAACATAATATGTGGCAATTACATCTTCTAAATGCAACATTAAATATGAAATAACGAGCGTTCAAATAAAAACGTGGTCAAGTTGGTTCTGAAAATTTGGACGTAGGGCGTAGCGTATAGCAAATGAACTTAAACGTCATCTGTCAAAGCGCTATATCGCCGCTGTCAATTTGAATATTTTCGTTTTAAAAAGCGTTTAAAATGGTGTTTTCTCAAGAACAAAAAGTGTTTATCATAGAGTCCTACTTTAGAAATGGACGCAAGATTGATGGAATATGGAAGTATTCTATTGAGGAATGTTTCATAGAATTTCAAAATCAATTTCCCGGCGTTGTTGAGTACAAAATTTTTCAAAGTGCAGTTCAGCGTTGTGTTAATGTTTTTCGTGAAACGGGCAGTGTAACAAGAAAAGAAGGAAGCGGCCGACCTAAAAAGCGGACTGAAGAATTAAAAGAAAATGTCCAACAAATAATGGAAAATGCGCCAAGAACTTCTGTACGTGTTTTATCACAAATGGTGGGAGTATCAGTCGGTACCTGCCACACAGTGTTAAAAAAAGATTTGCGTTTGTTCTCCTATCGTTTAACTTGTCAGCAAGAACTTCATGAAGTTGATTTTCCGCGACGGGCTGTATTTTGTGAATGGTTTTTAAACAACTACGGTGAACTTCATAATATCACCTTTTTTTCTGATGAAGCCTGGTTTCATTTAAGTGGTTACGTAAACTCACAGAATATGAGAATGTGGTCTTCTGAAAAACCAGATAACTTTTTTGTCGAGGGCCCTCTACACGCTCAAAAAATTGGAGTTTGGTGTGCTCTCAATCGAAGGAGGATTTATGGACCTATTTTTTTTAATGGTACTCTTACTGCGCAAAGGTATAGAGAAGAAATTATCGCTCCTTTTGTTAACCAGCTGGAAGAAAACGAAATTACAAACTTTTACTTTCAACAAGATGGCGCAAGGGCACATACGGCAGGCGAGACGATGAATATGTTGAGGGAAGTTTTCCAAAATCGACTAATAAGTCTCAATGCTGAACATGAATTTCCACCGAGGTCATGTGATATTACGCCGTGTGATTTCTTTTTGTGGCCTTACCTTAAAAACACTATTTTTGAACTGCCTATTCCTGATTTAAACCATCTGCAGGCTCGACTTATAGACAAGATTCGTGAAATTAACAATACCCCGAGCATCTTAGAAAATGTCTTTAATTCTTTGAGGAACAGGTGTGAAAAGTGCTTGGAACAAGGAGGGGGACACTTTCAGCAGCTGCTTTAATTTATTGTTATAACAAGGAGGGGGACACTTTCCGCAGCTCCTTTAATTGTTTGTTATTGTTATCACGATTATTCTTTAAAATAAAGTTATATAGTCATTAACGTTATTGAAACTGACAGCTGCTATACAGCTCGTTGAGAAATGAGGTTAAGTTGGTCGCTATAAGCTACTCCCTACGTCCAATGTGTCAGAGCCAACTTCGACCACGTTATTATTTGAACGCTCGTTATAAAAACAGTCTACAAATATTATTCACCTTATGACAATTGTAGATTGCTAATCGAAATATCGTGGAATGAACAAATAAGAAAACCATGGACTGGAAGTATGAAATAATTAAAGACGCTTTCATACAAGGCCCCACTTCACAGCGTATAAAAGTTTTCATTTCGTGCGTATTATTCTCGGTTTAATTTTGTCACAGCTGTATGTTGTTTTGTTGATTTAGCTGTATAAGAGAAAACAGTAAAGACATGTTTTATTTTTTTTATAATGTTTTAATAATATCTGTTTGAACTTTAATAAATACGTCCTTGTATAAACTTTTATCAACTGGCAGCGTACAATTGCTTATCTTATTTGAGGATATTTCTCCTAAACTAAGTCAAAGATTGTCTCTGACGGAAATTCACAACAAAGTGCTTAACAAAAATTGTAACATACATTTTTTTTATTAAAAACTTGTTTTAAAAGATAATTCAAATCTTTTAAATTATCAAGTATATTAATTTATTTTTTACGGACAGTTTACAAAGCAGAAATAATAATTATTATAAAAAGTAAATTAGTATTATAGTAATAATGTACACCTGTCCACATACTAGTAATATTTAAGAAATTATGCAAATTTTAAAATACTTGAGAAACTTTTTTATGTTCGCTGCTTCGTACGCATTAACATCTAATTTCAAAGTTACACATTGTAAAGTTATTCAAAACTAGTTTCTTTTTACTAAGTTTCCATTTGTGTTGCACTTTCTCTCTCTTCCTAAGTCTATCTGCTTTCCAGAATTGAATTTCATATTCCCCCTGCCACTCCAGATGTGTGATTAATGAAGGTGAGATCAACCAGCAATCCTTATGATGCCAAATTTTACTGAAATAGGTGGATTTCAAAAAAGTACATCCGCCATATTGGATCAGCCATCTTGAATTTTTACAATGTGAATTCATATTTGTAATCAGCGACCCAAAAAACCCCTTTATACAAAATCTGGTCAAAATCCGCTCAGAATTTGAAAATAGCGATTCCTGCTCGGTTTTTTGAGGTTAGAATAAAAACCACACGTTCTAGCTCAATTCTGACAGTGGATTTGAATTCAGCAGAGTCTTTTACATAAAAATGTACTATTTGATGTGG